CAGAACCCCTAACGTCAATAGCTGCCATTCGTACTCCATCCAAATTCAGCGGTTCGACTAGTGTCAGGATAGCTATATCACTGGTCACAAGTTCTTCGTAGTTTTCGTGAATATCGTAGGAAGCTACCTGCACTCGCACACCTTCCGAGTCGTTAAGGTCGCGAACGCCGGCCAGCACTGTCATCCGCTTCACATCAAAGCCATTGCAGCAGTGAGCGGCGGTCAAAATACGGCTTGGTGCTACAATGGAGCCGCCACAAAAGTGTTGGTACTTACTCTTTTTAGTAAAATACTGTAGGGATACTTGGTAGGGAACATATTCCCCAGGAGGCACGTCATTGCCACCAACTATGCGCGTTGAGTCTGCGGTGCTTCCTAAAAAAATTAAGTGTAGAAGGGGGCAACTGAGCGCAAATGGAAGAGTGAGGAGAGGAGCTTTACATACCGTAAGCCAGCGAAACCAAAACATTTAAAAAAGTAATCGCGTAGAAATTTAGTTCCATTAGCATCGGTTCGAGGCGAAATTATTTTCAGTCTAACTAACAGTTTGAATTTTAAAAGTACTTTGTATGGATTTCAAATTAAAACGCGACTATTTATAGTTCAGAACATTAAGTATAACCATTGCAATTACATAGTTGTGAGCAATTAGCGTGCTGAGCAGTGCGACCTCACAACCGCCGACTGCAGCATTTGCATACCTATCAGATAGGTCAGGGCGGAGGGCTGCACTTGAAATGCATGCGAAGGTTTCCCTTCGGTGATTATGCTGGTTAGAATTTACTTGCAGCAACAAAAACTATTTAAATTACTTGAGTATATTGGGTGCCCTGTAGGAAATACTTTTTAAGTGGTAAACGATTTTCAAATAATTCTGTTGTTACTTTGTCATTCTCACTGACGAATCACTCAGAAGCACCAACGCGCGTATTTTTCCGCCGAATTTCTCTCGGGCGGCCCATAACTGCTTTATCAGACTGCTGCGCCAAACGATATCGTCAAAGTCACATGCGACGAAATATACGAAGAGGAACAAGATTATATTTGTCCCTATGTTACACTCTTTGGATTTTCTTTCACTTCCACTAGGAATGTACTCGGATATGCATGCAAATGTTTATGTGGTTGTATTGTCCCAGCAAAAAAATTCGACTAATTCGAGACGACTTCGGGAGCAATCGAAAAGGAATGAACTGATCGCCTTTGCTTTAGCATATCCTGTGAAGAGATTAATTGTTCCCCTTTATACCCGAATGGGTATACAAAGCACTAGTCGCTTTTAATAAATAAATATAAAAACTTGCGCCTGCTGCGATTCGAAAATGTCAACGTGGCACATTAAATTTCATTGACTTAGTGCCTACGTACATACGGTGACCATATTAACGAACGTAAAATAAAGGACATTTTTCCCAATGATTTTAGAATACGAACATACAACTTGTATGATGGTAATTTAGATCAAATATTTGCCAGTTAATTATATTATTAAATTGTACAAGTTCCTCTTCTCGAAAGGCGCTGTAACCGGATTTTAACTGAGTCCGAAAAATGAAACCAAATCCTTATCAAGGACTTCGTCATCCTTTGCTGCCACAATGCGTTTACCATAATTAAGCGGAGGTTTATTGTTATTTTTCAGTGGATCTGAAAACATATCGTGCAACACGATCCTGGGCACAACTTTCCCTGTGCTTTTGTCAACAATGAATTTTACTCAAAGTATATTAATTTTTCCTTGAAAATGTCTAAATATTAGTTAACTTTTTTTTTGCAATTACATAAATTTCCTCTTATCAAGAGAATATTAAGTGGGGTGCGAAGCAAACTGACGAAGGTTTTCATTCTGTTTTATTATGGAAATTTTTATTTTTTCATATTCTATGTTTAAAAATTTACCTCTGCAAAATCCAAAGCTATTTTAAGGGACAGTTTAAGAAATAAAGGACAAATGGCGTCCTTTATTTTGACAAAAATTATAAAGGACAAGGGGTTAAAATAAAGGACTGTCCTTTAAAATAAAGGACGGATGGTCACCGTATACATACATAGCATTAAATCGTTAACTGTATCCATTAGAGATTAGTCGGGGACTAATTAATGCCAAATTATACCCCAATGAGTCTAATCCCGGTTTTAGTTGGAGATAAATCCGACGAATTGATTTATGCAAAAAAATCTAGCTACATTTTTTTGAGTTAAGTCTCTTTTCGAAACTTCACTATATTATTTGAGCACTCCATATGTATAGTCGGCTGAAGGGAAGATCGCCCTATCTCGGCTGGCAGTTCTAAAATTCGCTATCTCAATTTAAATTAAATACATCGGCAGCTGAGATAGAGCGTTCTTCAACCAAATTCTCAAATAGGGCGTGCTTGAGCCATTTGCTGAGATAGCGCGTTTTTGAACCGGCAGCCGAGATAGGGCAATCTTTCAACCCACCGTCGATATATGAATAGAAGTAATAACATAAATCCATAGATCATTAATTATATAGTTTTATAAACAGTTCTGTTGCAGAGACAAAAAATATAATAATTTTAAAATAGTTGATCCAAAAAGTTTAATTCAATTCCATTTCAAAAGGTTACAAACTAGAACTTTCTTTCAAGCCAGGCGCTCTTTAATCCACTCATCAAATATAGACACACGAGTGTAAACATCTGGATTATTAGATGCACAAAGCGCCGTACCATAGGAAACCACGCCAACCTGCTTCAGGCTCTCACCATTCTCCATCACCAGCGGACCGCCGGAGTCACCCTACAAAATCGTTTCATAAAAATTCACTTCTCACGATCACTCGCTTTTTCCATACATACATTACACGCTCCTTTGCCGAACCGCTCCAATGCACAGATCTCCGTGTCGGTCAACTGTGTCATCACCTTTTTACACTCATCATTTGTAATCGTTTTGTAGGACATGCGCTGCAGCAATGTCGGGTAAACCGCCAATGGTCCTTGACCCACATGCCACATAGCACCCCAACCGGTAAGGGTGACAGCTTGCCCACCATCGACTTTATCGGTGCCACTCACATCGACTTTGTCCAACTTGGCGCCGTCCAACTCGAAAGCCGGTTCGATCTTCAGAATGGCAATGTCACTGGTCACCAACTCCTCATAGTTCTCGTGAATTTCATAGGACAGCACCTGCGATCGAATACCAGTGCTGTCGTTGAGGTCACGAATACCCGCCACAACAGAGATGCGCTTGGCGTCCTGGCCGTTGACGCAATGTGCTGCTGTGAGAATGCGATTCGGTGAAATTATAGAGCCGCCGCAAAAGTGACGATCCTTGCCACTGCGTGTGCGATACTGCATAGATACTTGGTAGGGTACATGCTCGCCGTCGGGCACTGCGGCGCCGCCAACCACCCGCTCTCGGGAGTCGAAATCGTGCGACTCGAAGTAGGCATCCACTGCATGGTGGTAATTGGTGGTAATTGGTGAAAATCACATTTCTACATACAAACAATTCAATAGTGTTTATTCACTTACAGTCTAAAATGTCTCCTTTGTAGCGACTCGGATTGGTGTGGCCAGTTCCCAGCAAACAGAGCGAAATCAGTACTATTCCAATTCTAGGTCCCATTTTTTTTACCACGATTAGAAAGCGGAATGTGGTTTAGTTCATTCATTTTTCGTATCAACTAGGCGTTTATATACTAAAATCCACAAGGCA